ATAAGTGACCAGAGCAGGAAGATTTTATACCTTTTAGACAAAGAAACAATCAATTTGTAAAGAATTGACAAGACAAAGGGGTTTGGTCTATGCATAGCAGATGGTGAAGAAGTAGCAAGGTTTGTTTATACGGTCTTCTTGGCCCTAGATTCCCTGACTCTGGTGATACAGATGCTTCCCTTCCTCCTACAGGGAGGGTACCTTTCACATGGGAGATTTATCTCCCGCTTTCAGGGAAGAAGGGCAAGGGGGGGATGTAAGAGTGACCTTCCTGTTTCTGCTGTTTTCTTAAACTCCTTCAGCTTAAGATGTTCAACATGCCAAGGTGCCATGTTTTGAGGTGGCTCATCCTGAACCCCATCACCATGTTTCCGCAATTACAGTATCATACAGGATAGTTTTGTGACTCTAAGAATCCCCCACGCTGTCCCTATTCACCCATCCCTCACACCATCTCCCAACCCTGGAAAGCACTCATCTTTTTACCTTCTCCATAGTTTTGCTTTCCCAGGAAGTGAAATTATAAATAGCCATAGAGTATGTAGCTTTTCAGGCTTGCTTCTTTCATTTAGCAATGTGCATTTAAGGTTCCTCTATGGTTTTTTGTAGCTTGATAGCTCTTTTTTTTTTTTTAACGTTGAGTAACATTCCATCATCTGCATGCACCACAGTTTGGTTATCCATTCATTTATTGAAGGACGTCTTGGTTGCCTCCAATTTTTAGCAATTATGCATAAAGCTGCTATAAATATTTGCATACATACTTTTATGTGGACATAAGTTTCCAATTCATTTGTATAGATACCGAGGAGCTTGACTTCTGGATCTTATGGTAAGAATGTGTTTAGCTTTGTAAGAAACTGACAGGTTGTCTTCCAAAGTGGCTATACCATTTTGTACTCCCATCAGCAATGAATGAAAGTTCCTGTTGCTCCACATCCTCGTGAGCATTGGTGTTACTGAACCAGGTTCGTTTTTGCCCACCACACGGTATGCCAATCACCAAGACAACAAGTTTGCAGCAGAGAAAGTGTTTATTCGTGAGACAGCCAAGCAAAGAGATGGGAGAACAAGTCTCAAATCTGCCTCCCCGAAAAAGGGGAATTAGTGATTGTTAGAGGATAGAGAGGTGGAGTAGTTTGAAGTGTGGGAATAGACAATTGGAGGTAGGGAGAAGTGAGATAATTGATGATCTGTACAAGCATAGTCAAGCTTCACTGCTTTTCGTAGGACGTACGTTCACAAAATGGTGGTGTTAGCATGATAGGAAGGTGGAGTTTTCAGTCCCCTGATGTCAGATGATCACCATAGATCATTCACACAGGCCCGGTTGATGAGTCAGTGGTCTTAACTGGCCAGAACTGGACAAAGAGTTGACTCAGTTCCTGAAAAACTGAACCACCTGTTACCACGGTGACCCAAGCGTCAGAGATCAATGGAGTGTGCATTAGTAATGCATTATCTAACTACTTTTGCAAACAGACAACTAACTGAGTATAGTTAAAACAAGATGGCCTCCAGTTTTACTTGGAGTTGTCAATTTTTTGGACTTCAGTCATTCTAATAGGAGTGTAGTAAAGCTGCATTGTTGTTTTAATTTGCAGTCTCTAATGACATATCAAAGGGATTACCAGCCCACTAAAATGGTCTGAAAATTATTTTAAACTGAAACATCAGAACAGACAGCAGCCAGAGAAACAAATATTATCTGAACTTAAGCAGAACCCACAAACTACAGCTACCACTGCCCTGAGGGATTTTCCTGTTTGAAAGAAGACTGACTTTTAGCACCAGGAAGTGTGAATTCAGCAGTTATAAACTCCCCTATGGGGAAACTTTCAGCCAGGAAGAAGACAGGGTACCCCTTCCATTAACATCAAAAAGCCCAGGAGAACCTTCCTTACTTACCCATTGAAGCCCCTAAAAACCCTCCCACCCTTTTATTAAGTTGGCGTTTAAACCTTTACCCTCTGACTATCAGCTGAAATACTAAGTAAATAAACCTTGTCTTTTCTCCTGTTAAGATGTGTTTTTAAAAAGTTAATTTGCAAGCCACCCCATCCTTCACTCTTCAAATCTAATATGGTTGAGAAAAAGTTTTTCTCCCAAAAATGTGACTTTGAATATCTTTTTATATGCTTATTTGCCATCCGTTTGTCTTTGGTGAAGTGTTTATTTGGATCTTTTGCCCATTTTTTTTTAACTGGGTTGTTTGATTTCTTATTGTTGAGTTTTAAGAGTTCTTTGTGTATTTTCCTAATAGTCCTTTATTAGATATGTCTTTTGCAAATATTTTCTCCCAGTCTGTGGCTTGACTTTTCATTCCCTTAACAGTTTCTGTTGCAGAGCAGAAGTTTTTAACTTAAATAAATAAATAAATAAAGTTCAACTTACACAGTTTTTCTTTCATGGATTGTGCTTTTGGTGTTATATCTAAAATGTCATTGTCAAACCCAAGATCACCTAGATTTTCTTCTATGTTATCCTCTAGAAGTTTAATAGTTTTGCATCAACATTTAGATCTGTGATTCAGTTTGAGTTAATTTTTGTGAAAGATGTAAAGTCTATGTCTAGATTCACTTTTTTACAAGTGGGTGTCCAGTTGTTCCAGCACAATTTGTTGAAAAAAATATCTTTTCTGTATTGTATTGTTTTTGCTCCTTTGTCAAAGATCAGTTCACTATATTTGTATGGGGCTATTTCTGGACTTACTATTCTGTTCCATTGATCTATTTGTCTATTCTTTCAGCAATAGCACATTGTCTTAATTACTGTAGCTTTATAGTAAGTCTTGAAGTTGGGTAGTGCCAGTCCTCTTTCTTTGTTCTTTTTCAGTATTGGGTTGGTTATTCTGGATTTTTTGCCTTTCTGTATAAACTTCAGAATCAATTTGTCCAAATCCACAAAATAACTTGCTGGATAATAGTTGGGATTGCATTGAATCTATAGATCAAGTTGGGAAGAACTGACATCTTAACAATACTGGTTCTTCCTATGCATTGTAGGGGAGGAGAAAGATTTCCTTGACCTTCTTTGGGTCGCTGGTTGAGGCTGAAAATTAAATTGACAAAGACTAACAGAAGAAAAGCATACAAATGTTTGCTAAACATTTGTAAACTAAATGTTTACATATACATGGGAGGCTTCACAAGAGAATGAAGACCCAAAGAAGTGATCAGAGCAGGAAGTTTTAAACCTTTTAGATAAAGAACGAATAAATTTGTGAAAAATCGACAAGACAAAGGGTTTGAGCCAGTGGTAGTCCAACTAGGGCCTAGTTAGGGAAGATAAGGATTAGTTTAACAAGGGTTGTTTGGAGATTCCTTTGGTGCCATCTCTGGGCTGATAAGCGTCTATCTCCAGGAAAAGGAGAAGTTATTTCCTGCCTTTAGGCAGAAAAGGGGAAGCTTTTTCTGCATCCACTATTTCTTAATTGCCTTCAGCTCAAAATAATTTTTATGTCAAAGAGCCATATTTTGGGGTGACATATTTTGGTTTCATTCAGCACGAACACAGAATATCTCTCCATTTATTGAGATATTGATTTCTTTCATCAGAGTTTTATAGTTTTCCTCATAGTGATCTGGTGCATATGTTATTAGATTTATACCTAAGTATTTCGTTTTTCTTTGGTACTAATGCAATTGTTTGTGTTTTTAATTTCAAACTCCAAATGATCATTGCTGGTATATAAGAAAGCAAATGAATTTCATATATTAACCTTGTATGCTGCAACTTTGCTATAAACAGACATCTTTTTTATCCTGTAGATAATTAGAGCCATTAAAAGCACTGGGCAAGAGTGTTCCACTATTATATTGATGCTCAAGGAAGACTAATCTGGAAGTTATATATAGAATGAATTGGAAGGAAAACAGACTGGAGTCAGGCCATGCATGGAGGAGGCTTTCATGTGAGCCCTCCATGACAGAATGAGGTTTTGAATAAGGGTATTGCAGCACCAATGGAAAGGTAAGAACAGATTCAAGAGGCAAATGCATGGGTCTCTTCACATACAGTTCCCTCTTTGGGATGTCCTTACCATCCTCTTCACCTAACTTCTAATTAATCCCCAAAACTCAGTTCAAGTATTATGCTTCCAATCATCTTTCTTCTCTACTACCTCCTCACAGTTTCCTGTAGTTTCCTCTGTCAATGGAAAATGACCAATAACCATTCTATAGATAAGAGAAATAAGGTGAATTTTACTTGAGCCAGAGTGAGGATTGTAACCCAGGAAGGCTCTTTCAGAAAGGAAGAAAGTGTTCTGGAGAAGCGTGGTTTTCAGTACAGTCTTAGATCTTTGTAGAACAAACAACATACATTAAACACACCCACGATACATTTTCAAAGTTTCAAAGAGGTAGTTAGTTGCAAACTAGCGGGTCAACATGACCCTGATGTTGCAAGAGGGACTAATCTGGTCGTTACCAATAGGTGTTACCAATAGGGTGTTAACAATAGGGTGTTAACAATAGGGTATAGGAGGGAAAGTATATATTCTTATCTTAAGAGAGTGCATTCTTCACTTTAATGGTTATAGCAGATGTACAATGTATGTTTGATAGGCAAAAAGTCAGGCTTTTTTGGTTCAGGTTGAATCAGTTTTGAACCCGAATAGTTATCCCGTATACCTCAATATGTGAAAATCTTTTGACACCTCGGACACAGCTGTAAGTGCTATTAATATTTATTAATATGTATGGTATTTATACATTTACCAGATGGTCTCTTTCATTAGATCATGAGCTCCTGAATCTGAGTAACGCAGTATCTGACTCAATAAATGTATGCATAAATGAGTGGTTCATTCAACTTTGTTGTTGGAGCTCACAACATTACCAAGTATATTGCAGCTGTTATATCAGATTTACATGGTATGTTTTCTTCTGGGGAACTGAAGTCATAGAACTTCAAAAAACTGAAGCTTCAGATCAGAAAGGAAGTAACTCAGATCAGGAAGTGATCAGTTCCTCAAAACTGTGGGTTTTGAGTCACATTTTTTCTGTAAGTAGACTATTTCTTCCTGTGTATACAGCAATATTGATTCTATTTTAAAGAGCAAGCTAAGAGTCTCATCAACACTGTGCACAAGAAATTCATCCGCCAAGCCCTAGGTTTCTGTTTCCTCTGCTACACGCTGGCAGCTCTAGTATGCCTGGGAAAGAAGCAGCAGACAAAAGACTTTGAGCCTGGGACTACCTCCCTCTTCTGTTCTCAGCAGGAGCCTCAGCACAGAGACCTGGTAAGAGAAGAAGCCTCAGGGCTGGGGAGATTAGGGCAGTGAAGGTGGCTGGGAGGCCCAGGTCAAATAGGTGGAGGGTAAATATTTCAGGAGGGAAGAGGGAAGAGACAGAGTTTCTGACATGGCCATCAAAGGCATGAGTACAGGACATAGAGTAGAATGGGATCTGCTAATCAGAGGAAGGTTTTCCTTACTTCGTACTCCTCCTCACTGGGCTTCAAGTTCTTCATAGAATGGTGAGACTCAGTGAGAAAGAAAATGGTTTAAAAAAAAAAAGAGCGAAGAAACCTTAAGAAGAACAAGGAAAATCTAAATGGTTACAAATAATGATTTTGCACTTATTGGTCCTATTACCACAATTATGTTCCTTCTTCCCACACAGAAAAGATGGTGCTAAGTCTCCTGGGACGCTGTCCTCTGTTCCTATTGCTGCTGGGACTATGGGTGCTGGTGCATCCACTTTGTGCTTGGCCTAAGTCTCTCACCCAGGCTCGCTGGTTTGAAATTCAGCATATACAGCCAATCCCTCTCCAATGCAACAAGGCAATGAATGGTGTCAATAATTATACCAAGCACTGTAAACCTGAAAACACCTTTCTACATGACTCCTTCCAGAACGTGGCTTCTGTCTGCAATTTGCGCAGCATCATCTGCAAGAATGGCCAGAAAAACTGCCACCAGAGTTCCAGGCCTGTTCACATGACCCAGTGCAGTCTCACATCAGGGACGTATCCTAACTGCCGCTACAGGGATGCTGCCCCATACAAGTTCTTCATTGTTGCCTGTGAACCCCCTCAGCAGGGTGACCCTCCATATCACTTGGTTCCTGTACACTTAGATAGTATTGTTTAAAGTTTCCACCATTTTCCCCTCACTTGGCACAGGTTCTCTTATAATCTCCTCTGCTTTTTTTTTTTTTTCTTTTATTGATTTTCCTGGTTCCCATAGAAGAAAGAAGGAAGATATTGGGAAAATTAGATTGCCTAAGACACCAGACCAGAGTTGGGACAAAAAGAAATGGGATCTTTTCTGCTTTGGAGCTTTGTGTGTTTTGAAGGAAGGCAACAAGGAAGAGGGCAAAGAAAGATCCAGGACTCTGTATTTTTAACCTTGGAACTTCTGCCAAGATTTGTAGCTCTCTGTTCACAGCAATAAAACTACTTTCTTCTGCATTCTAATGAGTGTGAGTATGACTGTGTTTGAGATCCCTTTCACATCGTTGTCAGCCTGGAGCAATCTAGGCCTACATTTGCCAGTATTCCAAAGAAAGCTATTTTAGCTCTGGCAACCTTTGAGATTATTTTGTTCCCTGGGGCCTCTGCTACTTCCCTTGCCCTTGTGTCTTTGGGACTTTGGAACAAGAAAGTCCTTCATCCCTTCAAACTCTGCTCATGGCTTTATATATTTCCCTTGAAACCATTGTCTATTGTGGGGGACTGGAATTAGCCACCCAAAGATATGTCTCTTTGGCATGAGGATTATTTGGGGCTCCTCACTTTTAAAAAACTGCAGACAGGAAAGAAGCTCTAAAAAGTAGAATTTATTTAGCCTTTGTTAAGAGACATTTACATTTGTAAAGGAAATCTCCATCTGTAAAGGTGTCTCCCTCTCTATACCAGGAAGAAGGAGGGATGACCTTATCTCTAGAAACTCTTAATCAATGTGGAAGGCAAGCACTGTAGACTGCATAATAACCTGATTTATGTTTACTGTACTTTTCTGGTAATCTCCCATAACTGACTCCCTCCACCCCCAACATCCTTCTTTGTCTTTAGCTGAGGATAGTATTTAAGATGAGGACTTCTGCCATTTTGGCAAGTTGCTCTTTTTGCCTGAGCCTCTCCCATGTATACATGTTACAAAGCTTTGTTTAATTTTCTCCTGTTATTCTGTCTCATGTGAATTTAATTCATTTTCTGGCAAGAAGGCCCCAGAGCAGGTAGAGGAAAGGTCTTCTTCCCCTGCACTATCTTTAGTTAGAGGTGGCACTGGTACCTCATAGAGTGTTAATGGAACATTCACATCCAGATTCCAAGACTTGCAGCTGAGGCATCCTAGATATTTACTGCTTGTTTCTACATTTAATCAGATAATGTTTTAAATATAAGTAGTAGTAGGAATAGTGATCCACAGTAGCCTGAGAGTTAATTCGTCCATTATCTATTGGAATGGGTGAAAAGCATAGATCAAGAAAAAAAAACCTCGAGAAACTACAAAAATTCTTGGCCTGCCTAAATAATGAAATAGCACAGAGACATTGGGGTTTGGGAACAGGTACTGAATCTATAAAATGAAGGACTAGGATTAAGAATTTGTCAGGGATTAAGAATTTCATTCTTAGGGGCTGGTCCCGTGGCCAAGTGGATAGGTTTGTGTGCTCTGTTTGGTGGCCTAGGGTTTCACCAGTTGGGATCCTGGGCACAGACGTGGCACCACTCATCAGGCCATGCTGAGGCAGCATCCCACGTAACACAACCAGAGGCACTCACAACTAGAATAGACAACTATGTACTGGGGGTATTTAGGGGGAAGAAGAGGAAAAAAAGGGAGATTGGCAACAGTTGTTAGCTCAGGTGCCAATCTTTAAAAAAAAAGAAAAGAAAAAGAATTTAGGTCCTAGATATAAGGAAGGAAAAATAATTTTCCCTCTACATTCTAGGTTCTTGGCTGAGAACCTCTGTAACAAAAGGACAGATTAACAGGAGAAAAACAATTTTAATTACATACATACATACAGGAGCCCCACAAAGATATGATACTCAAAAGGCAGCCACACAATTGAGGCTTCTTTACCACCCTGAGCTAAGGAAAGGGATAGGGGTTTGGGGTTTCAAAGTGGGGAAGACAATTCACAGGAAGATGAGAAGAGGAAATACAAAGTAAACAATGTTTGCCCCGCCCTGCAGATTAGTCTCTCAGATGAAAAAATGATCTCTGGTAATAGCTCTTTTTCCTGGTACAGGCCTCTTTTCTAATGTAAATTTCCCTTACAAAAGAGTGACTTCCATTCTGTTTTCAGAGCTTCTCCTGTGTCTACAGTTTCTCAAAATAATTACTAAGCCAAAGAGGCCTACGAAGGGGTGGCATATTCTGCTACCCTTCACAGGTCACTTTCACAGATGGAGTGTCAGTTTCCTTGTCAACCTCTAGAGTTATTGGGTTAATGGTCCATCGTAAGTCAAAGTGCTTTGTAGAGTGATCAGTTTTTGAGTAGCAGCCAAAGACAACGCGCATTGGACATGCCACATATTGAAGTAGTTACAAGTGTGTCAGTTATCTGTGCCACAGGATGGTTCTTTCCAAACCAAACTATGCCTTTAATAGATGTATTAATTAGGCTCACCTCCCTTCATGCCACATATTTCTGTCATGTCTTAGGAACAAAGAACAGAATATGAAGTTTCAGGTTTTAGGAGCCTGGATTCCAGGCATGATAGATATTCAAGAGGCCCTACCTTGGGAAGAGATAAGCAGACCAGGGCAACTTGGCTCCTGAGAAGGTAGGTACCCAGTAGGGGAAACTCTATGTTGGGACTTGACTCCTCCAACTTAGAGCAGCTTTCAAAAGTATTCACCTTTAAGCTGTGTTGCATTTATGTTTTATAGTTTCAGAGTGTTTAAGTAAAGTCTGTGGGGAGTTGACAGAAGGATCTGTACTCATGTTTGATGTGAACAAGTGTGGGAAAGTAGCAGCATTCTCAGGGAAAAGGGCCTTCAGATGGCATTCTTACTGAGCAAGGGCTCACAGCCTGACATGCATAGAAGCCAGTACTATGGCACTGACTTTTGAGAAAAGAAAGAGCTTTATTGCAAGGTCGACCAGCAAGGAGACAGGAGACAGGGCTCAAATCTGTCTCCCTGACCCAGGGTTTGGGGTAAAATTTAAGGGATTAGGGAGGCCAGGCTGGTATGCAGAAGTATTGGCAGGACAGACTTCATTGGAAGGACTTTAAACAAGGCAATTTATGGTAAGGTATGAAAACGAGCTTTAACACTGGATCTTCCTGGACAATGGACCCCTTGCTTTTGAAAAGGTCCCAGCTTTTGAGTTCCAGTCATGTCCTAAACCTTTGGTTCCATGGAGAGGAAGAAACTTTGGTTCAGAGTGTTATTTCAGGTCAAAATTTCCTCCTCTGTGCATGCTTCAGCTATATGACTTACAGTTTTGGCTTGTCACTCCTGTAAGATAACTTTGACATTCTGTTCTTGATGTGATAAGGCCAGTTTGAACCAGTCCTATGGTTATGGTCCTGAGTTGATCTGAGTGGTAAATGGATTTATGTATCATATAAGTAAAACCTGGAAATTTCCAGAAATTCCTGGAGAAATTAACCCAGTAAAAGATTGAACTTTCTTTCATCAAACAACTCAATTACTCATACTATTGTTATTTATTGATTAAAAGGAACTAGTGGATTGAAGAAATCTGTGCTACAAAAATTTTTGAATTGTCAGAAACATTAGAAAATATAAAATAGTACTTTAAAATAATGAAATTCATTGTGAGGTGTACATTGTATTTCATTTTTTTCTGTGACCTAAATATACCGCAAATATTTTGCAACAAAAGGTTAAAAACAAAAACACAAGTGTCGTTTTCTAGAGAATTGCAGCAATATCTAACCTTCTTCCTCCTCCCCTCCACCTCCCCCTCTCCCCCAACACTGTAGTCACTTTTTGTCGCTGAAGAACGAGGGAGCAAAAGGGTAACTTTGGGATGATATTTTACCAAATTCGTAGGTGTTAGTTCTAAATAAATGGACTAGGCTGTGATGTAGACTCTCTCAGATTTCTTTTCTTTTCAACATGCAGTTATGTATTGTGGGAGAGTAAAGATAACTGACTAAATCAGGAGTTCATTTAGCTATATTCCTAAATCAGCTTAAACGACCTGACAAACATTATAGAATGATTCAAAAGTAGGCAAAGCTTAGAAATCAATTCAGTAAATGTTCCAGCAGCTCTCAACTCTGGTTTCATATTAAATTCATCTGGGAGTTTTCAGAAAAATATCAGTGACTGGATCCCTGTGAGATAATAGAAAATATATATTGGTCTCTGCTCCCTGTTGCTGGCACAGAGCTCCTGAAAGCCTTGTAATTTACCAAGTGATAGGAGCACTAGGAGCATCTTTCGTTCCAAGGAGACAACTCTAGATGGGCTCCTGGATGGGGACTGGTCACCAGAAAGACCAAGCCATGATTAGAAGCTTAGAATTTTCAGCCCACACCCCCATTCTCCAGAGAGGGGAGAGGGGATGCAAATGGAGTTAATAATTGATCCTGCCTATGTGAGGAAGCCCCATAAAATCCCAATAGCAGGGGATTTGGAAAGCTTCCAGGCTGGTGAACACATCTACACTAGGAGAGTGACGCTCCCCAGCTCCACAGGGACAGTAGCTTCTGCACTTAAGACCCTCCCAGAGATACCCTGGGTATCTCTTCATCTGGCTATTCATCTGTATCCTTTATCATATCCTTTAATAAACTGGTAAATGTAAGTGTTTCCCTGAGTTTTATGAGTTGCTCTAGCAAATTAATCAAACTAGAGGAGGGGGGTGTGGGAATCTCAGATACATAGTTAATTGATCAGAACTGCAGGTGACAACTTGGACTTGCATTGGCCTCTGGAGTCAGGTGAAAGCAGTCTTGTGAGACCAAGACCTTAACCTGTGGGATCTGATGCTGTTTCCAGGTAGGTAATATCTACCTGGATATTAGAGCTGAGTTAAATTGTAGGACACCCAGCTAGTGTTACAGAGAGTTGCTTGATGGAGGAAAACCCCCACACGTCTGAGGTCAGAAGTATTGTGAGTATGGTAGTAGTGTGAGAGGAAAGGAGAAACACACAAGTGAGACTCAATCCCATTGAATGAATTTTATGAGCATTTAACAAACAATTAAATGAATTTCTAGGAGTGAGTCCTGGGCATTACGGGATGTTTTTAAAGGATCCTCATGTGAATGTAATGGGCAGACTGCAATGGGAACCACCGGAGATCTAGGAGTACGCAAAGCTATACCCTGCGGAGTGTCTGGCCTGAAGCCTGTTTTGGACTGTCTGGAGCAATATCGGTTTTACATTTTCAACAGGAAGAAGAAGGAGAAACAGGAGGAGCAGAAGAAGCAGATGCAGAAGCAGCAGATGGAGGAGGAGGAGAAGAAGGAGAAAGAGAAGGAGAGGAAGGGGAAGGGGAACGGGAAAGAGAAGGAGAAGGAGAAGAAGAGAAAAGAAGAGGCGGGGAAGGAAGAGGAGGAGGAAGGAGAAGAGACAGAGACCATGTGTGGCCCACAAAGGTGAGATATTTCCAGAAAAGGTGTGCTGACTTCTGGTCTACCAGACTGCTCAATGGAACTCGTCCTCTGGCTGTGGCTGAGGCAGGGGCTTGGAATTCAGCAGGAGGGAAGATACCCCGCAGGCTGAGAGTTTTTAGCTGGAGCCTCAGGAAAGTAATGGAATCAGGACAGGAAAAATATTTGGCCTTTCTCTGTCTCTCGTTAATCTTCTTTTCTGTGCATTATTTCAGTCCTTCTGCAACATACTCGTTTTCCTCTGCTTTTCTGTTTCACACAGTAAGTAGACGTTCATCTCACTTTCTATTTTTCTCTTAAATACAGTTTATTGGTGAAGGGTATCTGACTGACCTACCTGGATCAGTCAATCATACACTTGGACAGAGTCCAATTGCACAAAATAGATCTCAAGAGGCTTTTGTTTTTTTGTAAACCACGCAGAATATAGGATTAGAGACAGAACTGCAAGTGGAGTCTGCCCTGGCAGACAACTTAGGGACCCCCTCACACTATGGAACATTTTTTAAGCTTTCAACATTTTTTGTCTTCCTGCAGTGGCTTAAGTAGGCCAGGGCCAGCAGTGCCTGGACTGAGACCTACATGGGCTGCCATCCTGTTTCTCCTCTTTGACATTTTCTCTGATCCTCTACCCTCCCTCCCAGCACAGGAAGTCCTGAGGAACTTCAGGATCCATGTCTATATTGGCATCTCTGGGCCACTTTCCACATCTGGTTCCGGGAGAGTTAGCCCTGGGTTAGAGATGTCGGTGTTCAGAGAAAATGAGTTGAATAGACAATTCAACACAAGTCCCATACCCACTCAGTGTGGAAACAGAATTTGAGTATCAGTCCAATGACTGTACTTTTAAAGAACAAAAGGAAATTTATATTGACTAGAGATGTGGAGCCAGTAAAAACATTATGCCACTCTACAGTTTTACTTACTGTCTTAGGTCAATACTTTAATTAGTTCCAGTGGGGGAAAAAAGTATATAATCTAGAGCTGTTTCTATTCTCTAATTTAATACTGTGAATATTTTGCCTTCAAGTCACCTTTTTAATTTGTAAAGTTATTTTTGAAAATACCATACTATCTAGGCCGTGCTAATAAAAATAGAGAAACTGTTGTGTGTCAAAGTTTTCCTTTGAGAAAAGCCTGTAAACAAAAGCCCCGGTGTGGGAGTGGCATAAGCAGGGCCAAACAGCCTCTCAGGACAGGAGAAGCAGAAGCTCATGAGGACAGGAATTCTTCTGGAGCTCTTCACGCTTCCTGATGGATTTTATAGAACCTTCCTCTGGCCCTCTCTCATGCGCTCATTTCATTTTTAATGTGATTAATTACTTTTGAAAAATTAAACGACGTAGATAAATACAAACCAGTATACATCACTCAAAATAAATAAGTATTGTTTATCATATGCTTAAAATTTTTAAAGTAAATAAAATATAAAAACATTGGAGTCCATTTTCTTCCTCTCTCCATTTTCATGCCTCTTAACTCTTCTCAGATGAAATCATAAATTTGGAGTGTGTCTAGTCCTATCTTTACATTTTTACTTCATATATAATATATTTACAAACAAAATATAGTGTTTCTGTGTGCAATTTTAAAATACCTTTATATAAATACTATCATATGGTACAAATCATTCTGAAACTTGCTTTTTTGGTTCACTCAACAGGGCTTTTAGACTCATCAGTATTAAAATACATATTTCCTATTTCCTTCTGTCCATGGATATTTGGAATGTTTTCAAATTTTCACTCTTACAAGCAGTGTTGCCATAAATATATTTGTCCATTTCTCTGTGTGCACATGTGGAAAATTTTTACCAAAGTATATGTGGATGTGGAATTGCCAAGTTGTGTATATTTTCAGTTTTATCAAATATTGCCATATTTTCTTCAAACTGATTTTAGCAGACTGTATTTTCCAAAGATGTTACACCAACATATCCCAGTTTGTATGCTCTTCTTATAGTGTGGTGTTGACTCTTCTCTACCAAAGGCAGGGTCTACGTTCCCTTTCCTTGAGTATGGGGATGTCGTAGGAACTCACTTCTAATGAACAGAGTGGAGTGAAAGTGACACTGCATGACTTCCAAGGCTAGGTCATAAAAGGTGATACAGTTTCTACCTGGCTCTCCCTCTCTGTCTTGCGACACCCACTCTTGGACTCAATCATCATGCTGTGAGGAAGCCCGTGCCATCTGGAGAGACCTTGTATAAATATCCCAGCCAACAGGCCCAGCTGAGGTCTCAGCCGGTATCGACCACTCAACATGTGGGTAAATGAGCCTTCAGATGATTCCAGCTCTCAACCTCTGAGTCTTCAACTGCAGCCTCAAACATTGGAACAGAGACGAGTTGCCCCCACTGGGCCCTATCTGAACTCCTGGGGAGAGTAATAAATTATTGTTTTATGCCACCAAGTTTTGGGTAATTTGTTACACAGGTATAGTCACTGCAGCATTGATTTTACAATTTTACATTCTCAGCAGAAACTGTGGTATGTGAGTTTTTGTTTCTCTATGTCCTGTCTCTGGCAAACCATGACAGCGTCATGCTCCTACATTTTTGCCAATCTGATGGGTATGAAACAGCACACTATTATTGTTGAGTAGGCAAAAAGACAGATGTTTCCATTCTTAGATCCTCAGTTCCTAGCATAATGCCTGGCACTAGTGGGTTTTAATAAATATTTGTTGAATGTAGGAATTAATAAATGCCTACTGTTTGCAAACTCTAAGTGGTTTACATAATTTGTTTCATTTAATCTGCATACCAACTTCAATATGCATACTTATCTTTATTTTATAAATATTAAATAGTTTCCAAGAGATGAAGTGATTTAACTGAGGTCACTTTTGTAAGTTGCACTTAAATTGGCAGAACCTGAATTAGAGGCAAAGCCCCTGTGCCTTCCCTCTTACATTAATGCCCAGAGGAGCTTGCAAATCACATAACAATAGGAATTTTTTTTAATTTTATTTTATTCTACTTCCTACTTCATTTTTACAGTCCTTCACCAAATATTTTCCCTTTATGGATCAGTCAGACTGCCATTACACATTTCACATTAAAATTGGTCTGGAACTAATTGATAGCCCCTTTAAGAAACAAGCTAATTACGTATCAGAAGATTCTAGGTTTGTCTCTTGGCTGGCTGGAGGCGTACTTTTTGGGGCCAGCCCGGTGGCGCAGTGGTTAAGTGCGCACGTTCCGTTTTGGCTGCCTGGGGTTCGCAGGCCCGGATCCCGGGTCATGGCACCACTTGGCACACCATGCTGTGGTAGGCATCCCACATATATAGTAGAGCAAGATGGGCATGGATGTTAGCTCAGGGCGAGTCTTCCTCGGTGAAAAGAGGAGGATTGGCAACAGTTAGCTCAGGGATAATCTTCCTCAAAAAAAGAAAAAAAGAAACAAGCTGTTATAAGATACCTGGTTCCTATCATTTGAATGGTGGAATGGCTCAAAGCAGGCCAGTGTTTTTAAGACAGCTGCAAGTTTCATTTAATCATTTAATTCATTTAATCACTTATTCATCAGTCACTTATTTACTCAAAAACATGCCAAGTGATGATGATGTGTCAGGCTGCATTGGGTACTACTGATATAGTGATAGACATGTCATGGTCTGTGCTTTCATGGAATTTAGGGTCTAGTGGGGGAAATAGATATTAACCAAATAATCACCCAATTTGATGTATAACTACAAACTAAATCAATGCTAGGAAGAAAGAGTATACAGAATGATGAGACCGTTGACAAGGAGTTTGAGTCGCTGTAAGGGGTCAGGGATGACTTTCCTGAGGAAATGATGTGGCTTGATTTGAGACATGAAGAACCAACACTGTTGCTGGGCAGTTGTCATCATCAGTTTATAGATGAAGAAGCTGAGATTCAGAAAGAAACTTGCTTAAATTACAAAACTAGTAAAGGGGAGACCCGTGATTTGAAACCAGATCAGGTTGAATTAAAAATTCAAACTTTTTCCACATTTATAACAAAAAACCCCAAAGAAGGGAAATTTCTCACACCAATCTCATAAGCAAAATATTGAGCAATATAACAGCCTATGGCCCCAGTTTTTACCACAAAAGCAGAAATTTCTCTTACTTTCCTCTTCTTGTGGTCATGTTTTATAGTACCCTCCTAACAACAGTTAACTAACAACAGTTGATAAACTAACACTAGGCAAGATTTCATTGCAGGCTGTTACTCAGTGTCTGGAATTCCACCAATGCTACTATTTCAATCAAAGGAGCCCACCATGTGGAAGTCCTAAGTGTTCACTACCAAGGACAGAGTAAGGCAGGGAAGTGTTTTGGTTGTTTTACTTATTATTATTATTATCAAAAAAATCCATACTTGATTCAGATTTTCTTAGGTTTACTAATGTCTTTTTTCTGTTCCAGGGTTCCATCAGGATACAACTTTACATTTAGTTGTCATATCTCCTTACACTCCTCTTGACTATGACAGTTTCTCAAACCATCCTTGTTTTTGATAACCATGACAGTTTTGTAGAGAACTGGTCAGGTATTTTGTAAAAGGTGATTATCGTATTTTTAAACCAATTTCTCTTTAAAGTCGTCATTAATCATTAGGCCCAAGCATTCAGAATTTCTCGTGTAGGCAAGGGGGAGTAGTTGCTTATCGTACTGAGAAGATATGTAGTAAGAGTAAATAAGGAAATCTCCTTGGAAGTGGGTTTGAAGGTCTTTTAGTACATGCTTTCTCAAGGGGAGTGACAATCCCCCTAAGGAGGCAAAAATTAGTTCTTGAGGGGCAGAAAAATCTTACATATTTCTATGGTTGGTGACCCTTCAAACTCAACCCTACTCAACAAAACATTATGCCTTAATTTTTATTTCATAGGGTAGGGGGCATGTTTAGGAAAGAAATATCTAAAAAGAATCCATGAGGGACTGATAGAAAAACAAGATTGAGATATACTGATTTGGTAGAAACAGGAAGGCAATGCCTGGACTAGGCATTGTCTTCACCTATCTTTAGACTTTTCATGAGCATTTTTACTACAGATGCTGTGTATACATCTTTCCAATTAGAATAGAAAGTTTTAGGGGACTATATTATGTTTAATTCATTTTTGTATTGGCAACACATAAAGGCACGTATGTCTCATGATGATCACACAATAAAAGCTAATTATGTGTATGATGAAACTATAGGCTCTGCTACTGGGCTTGTCCAAGTCAATATTTTGATTTCTTTGGTGAGGACATCAATGGCATACTGATGTGGGGGATCAGAATTTGCCAACCCAAAATGTGTCTCTTTGGCTTGATAATTTTTAAAAGCAAAAGACTCAGAAAAAATTTGGACCTTCCCTCTTAACTACCTAAAAAAATTTAAGATAGAAAGCCTGTTCCAGGAGGGAGCTAGACCCTAAGATAACTATAGTATAATGTAAACTAGGTGTGGTAGACAGGGAGGAACTCAACAAGGGCCATTGGATCAAAGTCCTCTCCATGTGTCATTGTTTTTATAAGGCATGGTCAACATTTGCTTAACATTTGCTTTTCCATCTCCATGTAAATCGCCTTCCTCCCTTTTGAGATCCCAAAACACTACCCCCCAACATCTTCTTTAGTCTTTAGCTGAAGATGGCATTTAAGGTGGTGGCTTCAGCTATTTTGGTAAGTTATTCAGATTTCCTGGGTTTCTCCCATGTATACATTTATAAAGCTTTGTTTGATTTTCTCCTGTTATTCTGTCTCATGTCAATTTAATTCTCAGATCAGCCACAAGGATCTAAAGGGTAAAAGAATTGTCTTCCTCCCCTATATATTTAAAGAGTACAATTTGTTAAGTTTTGACATATGTATGTACTCATGAAACCATCACCATAATCAGGATGGTAACCATATCCATCCTCCCCCTAAATTTTTCTCCTACTACTTTGTATCCCTCTGCCTTGATTTACTGCCCCTGTCCTGCCCAAACGTTATAGTAAGTTTTGAAATCAAGTAGTGCTAGCCTTCCAACTTTGTTCTTTTTCAAAGTTGTTTTAGCTGTTCTAGGTCCTTTGCATTTCCATATGAATTTTAGAATTAGCTTGTCCTCCAGGGATTTTGATTAGGATTAAGTTGAATCTACA